AGGGAAGGGGAACCTTTAGGTATAGACGCTTCCAATAATCCCTTTCTTCACTTCCCAAGAAGCTTTCCTTCATTATGAGTAATAGCAAGTCAAATAATTTCACTGCTGTCCTGCTAACAAGTTGTAAAATAAAACCATTTCCCTCTACAATAAAACAGTAACTATCTTAACTTTCTCATAACCTACACGGCATTTATTATTGATAATTTACACTAAAACCTGGTAATATTGGTGTGTGGCTAACGCATTAAAGTAAATTATTACTTCAGTAAATAGGTAATATAAACTAAAATATGTGCCCTCAATGAGCTACCTTTACAACAATGCTTACTTCAAAGCATGAGCTTTTGAAAATTAGCCCCTAACAATAATGTGGCCTCATATAAATTATAAAATACACAAAAATTTCTTTTAAAACACTGGCTAAGGATAGCAAGAAAGAGAGAAAATCATACAACCAGGACATAAGATCTATCCACATACCGGCAGCAAAGATGCTGGAGGCGTCTGGTACATCTGTACTGGAGGTCCAGAGGTTGGAGGGTGAGTGAGATGGCCTGGTGGTTGGCACTGTTGCAGCTGTGGAGGTGTGATGTAGGGATTAGCCCTGCTGCTGACAGGGGTATGGCGATATGGATTATATCCTTGTTGAGAGGTTCCTTGCGGTGGGCTCCCAAAATTTGAAGGAGGGAAACCACTTGGCTGAGAAGGCAAATAAGGATTTATTCCCATCTGTGAGGAAGGTGGAGTACCATACTGAGCTTTTGAAACAGATGGTGGAAATGTAGTCAACCCATCGTGGGATTCAGTTGTAAAAGGGAGAGCAGTTGGCGGGTTGGAGAATGCTGATTGTCCAACCAATGTTGCTGCAGTTGTTAAGGGTGACTGTCCAATATTCCCAAAAGGATCACTATTGCTCGATACCTGAGAGAAGTAACTAAATGTCTGTGGGGTGGATGTGGGAACAGAAGTCTGACCAAGGAAGCTGTCCTCCTCACCAACATCTGTGGAATCCTCTGAAACACAACAATACAGCAAATGCTTTAAAGGGTGCATTATCATTCCATTAGATTCTGTAAGGACGAGCTGTCAATTATACCTCTTAATTTATTATTCTACCATATTTCTGCAGGAAAAAAAAATACAACCAAAGAGCCAGATGTGGTGGACATGCCTGTAAAACTAGCTCTTAAGAGGTTGAGGAAGGAGGATCGCCATGAGTTCAAGGCCAGTCTGGGCTACACAGTGAGTTTAAGGTCAGCCTGAACTACATAGTACACCCTGTCCTAAAAAACAAAAAAACAAATGATAATAAAACTTGTTTCTCCTTGCAAACTTTTCCTTCAAAGTGAAAATCTAGAAAACATGAATAAGAAAAATCTACCCTGCCATGGTGGTGCACACTTGTAATCCCAGCCACTAAGGGGAATGAAGTAGGAGGATCACAAATCCAAGGCCAGCTAGCTGAGTATGATGGCTCACACCTGTAATCCCAGCACTTGGGATGCTGAGGCAGGTAGATCATTCCAAGTTTGGGGCCAGCCTGGACCACATAGTGAGTTTAAAGCCAGGCTGAACTACACAGCAAGACCTGGTCTCAAAAAAACAAAAACAAAAAACACAACAAAACAAAAAAATTCCAACACTAGTTTAGACAACTAAGCTAAACACTGTCCCAAAAGAAAAAGAAAAAAAGGGCTGAGGAGATAGCTCAGGATTAAAGTGCTTGCCTAGTATACACGAGGCCCTGAGAGCAGTCCCAGTACAAAAAGAAAGAAAGAAACACCAAAAGAAAAAGGCAAAGTAGAGAAAAATTATAATTCATTCATCATCCCACCTCCCAGAGACAATGCCTGCTAATACTGTTAACATTTCGGTACAGCACCCCCCATACTTTTTAAATAAATGTAGTTACCATTTATTTTGTAAATACATATGTATACAGGAGCTCTTAAGAACAGAAACAAAATCTATACCTAGTATTCTCACTTATTAATTTGAATCTTTTTTTCTTCCCCAGTAAAATATAACTCAAACATTGCCTCATTACCTAAATACATGTAATTTTATTTCTACAGTACAGATATTCTGTTAACAAGAATGGGTGGGTCCGGGCTCTTACTTCCAAAGCAAACGCACAAACGAGCCTGTAGTATTTGTATTTCCAAGGTAAAGTAGGCCAACCATTAATTACCATCCTTAAAATCATGCAGCGTCACAACCAGTAATTAATCACTATAGAACACCAAATCACTAGAAAAGAAGTTTTTCTAACTAGGAGAAGTTCTCAATTCCCTTTGCCCAACTTAATCTTCATTATGAGTAATAGCAAGTCAAATAATTTCACTGCTGTCCTGCTAACAAGTTGTAAAATAAAACCATTTCCCTCTATGTGACCACAAAAGCCCACCCAACTCTGCCTTACTGAACTTTAATGAGCCCTGCACTTGCAGCTTTCATCTTCCTCCTCCAAGTCTTTCCCCTTCCTACTCATTCGCTCTTATCTTCTACTTCTGGAGGTGAGTCTATCAGAGAGGTGGACCCAGGCCCAGCACAGAGGCACATTACAGCCCCTGCCTGTACTGATGCACCAAAGCTCCAGCTTCTCCTTGACTTTCTCTGAAGGAGGCCACTGGGCTCAGACTTTCCTCCCTGAGCTCCTAGGCTGATCCCACTGTATTTTATACACAAACCACAATACTCCACTATTTCAGTTTGGGCCACAGTCCAAAAGACAGTTCTAAATATCACAACCCAGATTATAACATCCGGGATTGTGTCTTTTGGAATTATGATCAGTACTCTATGGAAAGATTCCCCTATCACTTGTTTCTTTGTAACTACAAATAAAACCCCTCCTGCACAAAGCCCTTCTTCTGTTTGCATCATTCTACTTTCTGATGTAATTCTAGTTCCCACCCCTCTTCCCAGTCCTGTGATTGTCACCTGGCCTCATCCTCTGTAGTTCTTAGTTCATCCCCCAACAATGAAAAACATGGGACAAACACCTGTGCTATCTTTTTCACCTTTTTTGGGGGGGAGGTGGTTCTTTTTGGAAAAGGTCTCCCTATGTCATCCAAGACAGTTTGAAACTTGCTATGTTGCCGAGGTTGGCCTCAAACTCACAATCCTCCCACCTCAGTCTCCCAAGTGTTGTGATTACAGGTGTGTGCCACTACCCCCCGCTTCTTTCACCCTTCAAGAGAACTTGAAGTTGACCTAGACCAAGAAACACTTTTCTAATTAGCATCAATTATAAATGAAATCGTGATCTCAGCATATTGCTAGACTCATCTCAGGGCATTTTCTAACTTCACATGGACACATATCCATCTAGATCCACGACCTCAGTGAGCACTGGTACACCTGCAACACTCCCAACTTTGTCTCAAACCCAGACTCTCCTTATGTGTTCCAGAAGCTATTGTCCAACTTCTTCCTCAAAACTTCCAACAGATTCAGCCACATATACTTCAAACTTACTATCTTAAATTCAGCACACTTTAATGAGAGTCTGCCTCTATGCTGGGCCTGGGTCCACCTCTCTGATGGACCCCTCACCTCTACCAGCAGAAGTTAAGAGGGAATAAATACGAAAAGGAAAGACTAGGAGGAGGAAGATGAAAGCTGCAAGTGCAGGGCTCATGTGCCCCTGTGCACTTTTGCCAGATCTCACTATCTCAACAGAACACTCAATAACATCCATCCAGATTCCAGCCAGAAACCTCAAGCCTCTCAGACCATTCCTCTCTCTGGTATCCTTCAGAGCAGAAATACTAGACAAGCACAGTGTCACAGGCCTGCAGTCTCAGCGTACTGGGAGCCTAAGGCAGGGAGGGAGGATCACAAGTTTGAGCCCACATAGGGCAATTTAGAAACTTAATAAGACTGTCTCAAAATGAAAAAAATTTAAAAATAAAGGGCTGGGAATGCAGCTCAGTGCAAAGGCCCCAGTAATTGGAGGGAGGGAGGGAGGAAGGGAGGAAAAGAAAATATGTATGCCCAATGTGGGGAGCTTACCTGTAATCTCAGGCACTCTGGGAGGCTGAGGCAGGAGGATTGCCTCAAGTTTGAGGCCACCCTAGACTACATAGTGAGTTCAAGATGAGCCTTAACTACACAGCAAGACCCTATCTAAAAAAAATAATAATCTTCACTTCTAGGAATTACAAAAAAACAAGTTGTCTCCAAGAAACAAGAATTTTAAAGACAATGTACTTGACAATGAAATTGTCCAGTGCTGACTGACAGTGCCCAAATACACAAAGCAAATACAACAAGAAAGATAGACATGGTTGGGCATAGTGGGCATAGTGGTGCAAACCTGTAATCCCAGCACTCAGGACACTGAGGTAGGAGGATCACAAGTCCCAGACCAGGCTGAGCTACATGCTGAGTTCAAGCCCAGCTTAAGCTACATAGCAAAACCCTGTCTCAAAAACCACTCCCCCCCAAAAAAGAAAGAAAGAAATCAAGTAACACTCATGAAGCAGAGGATGATATAGAAGCCTCGGGTATAGCCTTCCAAAGCATTCAGCTCCAGTCATGCCAGCTTCTCACCAAAGACAGCAATGTCTACGCTTTCAAGCACACTGCCTGAATGAGACATCGTATTCCTGATGCCCATCCTCTCATTCATTCAATAAACATCTACTGAACATTTTCCATTCCAAGGACTGCACATACACTAGCGAGTAAGTCCTTGTTTTCATGGGGTTTACATTTGTGGGGAGGGTGTTAGAATAAACAAACATGTACATGTCGGGTAATGACAAGCACCAAGAAGTCTAACACGAGGGAAGGGGAACCTTTAGGTATAGACGCTTCCAATAATCCCTTTCTTCACTTCCCAAGAAGCTTTCCTTAGTCCTCCAAAGAGGAACAAATTATTCACTGGAAACAATCCAGCCAGTTGTGGTAGTGCAAGCCTGTAGTCCCAGCACTTGGGAGGCTGAGGCACTGAGGATCACCCCAAGTTCAAGGCTACATGGTGAGTTCAAGGCCAGCCTGAACTGCATAGTGAGACCCTGTCTCAAGAAAAAAAAAAAAAATTCAACATGTAATGAAGATCCTTGTGCTAGGCACTAAACAAGATCCTGGAAATAAGATAATTAAGTCATAGCTGAAACTTTAAGAAGCCCACAGTTCCAACAGAAAAACATGTTTAGTTTAACATTTACATAACAGTGTGTCAAGCACTATACTCAGTGCTTTGCAAAAATTAACCTTTCACAACAAGCATATATATGGAAACTGGAGCACAAAGAGGTAAAGTAACATGCCTGTGCTCCCACACCAAGTTACTGACAGAGTCAGGACCCTAACAGTCTGTGCTCCTAAACACGATGGTCTGGGTTATACCACAAAATCATCAAAAACGCCATCTCCCAGCTGGGTGTGGTGGCACACACCTGAAATGCCAGCACTCTGCAAAGGGGTGGGGGGGAGTGCTGACGAGGGTCACAAGTCCGAGCCCAGCCTGGGCAACTCTGTGAATGAGCAGAACCGTGTCTCAAAATTAAAAAGAAAAGAATTTCCCAAAGCAATTAGTACAGAAATAAACAAAAAGCTAGAGGTGCTCGTAGGAGTGGGAACCTAAGAGAGCAATAAAACACTTCTGAGAGGAAAAGCATGCCGAATCGGCACACTGTAAATATTACACATCTTTTCTAGGAGGGGGCACCGTCTATCCTAGGAGATATCCTCTTGTACACCGGACTCTAAAGACAGCCTACTGTATCTTTGAAGAGGCTTACCTAGGGGACGGCTACTGTCTATCTTCATTCCCTGCCAGCACCCAGAACATCAGTGGGTGTTCAACAACTTGTGGAATGCCAGTTAACTAGTGTCCTATTCAAATTCGGAACAGGAGATTCTTCGAGCAACAGCAACCTTCATCACCTGGGCCCCGCCTCCAAGATCCCAAGCCCCCGAACCTCTCCAACCTGGCCACTGCTAGCCCAGCAAACGACCCTCTGGGTGGGTCGAGTCAAAAGCAGAACTTCTCGTTGGACACTCGTCCGACTGCGACCCCTGCCCGCCTCCTCATACACACTTGCCCCGCGGAACCGCCCTCGGATTACTACCTCCGGGCAAGAGAAGAGAGGCCGAGGCAGGGGCGGCTTGCGTGACTGGGATGAAGGGCACGTTGAAGCTGAACCCCGTGGCCGAGGAGGAGAAGAGTAAGTTAGTACACGATAAAGAGGTGGAAGCGCCGCCACTGCCACCATTAAGTTTCCTCTCGGTCATGGCTGCGGGCCACCGTCCGTTACACGTCTACTGGAAGCCGGTGCAGTACCACAGACCGGAAACCAGTCACCTCTGGGTCAGCGCACTTCCGCACTTGCGCACAGGGGCCGGAACTCCCAGGTGGACGGTACAGAGCCATCATTTTCCCTAATCGGCTATGCCCGAAATAAACATGGCGGATCTGGCTTCACACCCGAATCTAGCACTTGACATCCTCAACAACCGCGCAGCCCGATTTGAGACAGGACCGAAACTAGGCGAACATGGGGGCGTGGCTGCTGCTCTTCCTGGATTGAAGCACAACTTCATGCTCAAAGTCACGGATTGAGTGGGGTAAAGACTTCCTAAAAGTAGGGACAAGAAAGTTTAACTGTCAGATTTTGGAGGTACAGCTGAAGCCCACAGGAGCAGGTAAAGGAAGAAAGGAATGAAAAAAAAGTGGAGGCAATAGCAGCCGGGGCGAAGCCAAATTCACCTATTCTAGCACCTGCATTCCTTTCTGGACAGAACAGAACTTTTGTCGGTGGCCCAGGTATAGAAATAGTAAAAGTTTTGAAGTTTTTAAGCCCATGAGGAGAAAAAAATTTTAACCCAGGAGATTGAAATTTAAGGATGTGACATTTAGTCACATTGGTGCAAGCCTGTAATCCCAGCTACTCTGGAGGCTGAGGCAAGAGGGTAGCAAGTTCCAGACCAGCCTGGACTGCAAGACTCTGGGGGGCGTTGGGGGGACTCAGCGCTCCCTAGGTTCAATCCCAAGTCTTCCCCTCACCCCAAAAAAGATGTGGCATTTTAAAATAGCTTTGTATATGCCCACAGTCCCACAGTAGTCTGACTAGTTTCATCCATAAACTGGATATAACTGACATCTTCCATAATTTAACATTTGAAAGAAAAAAAGCAGCTGTGTGTAGTGGGGCACACCTGTAATGCCAGCTACTCCAGAGGCTTAGGTAAGAGGATGGAGAATTGGAAGCCAGCCTAGGAAATTTAGCCTGCTCTCAAAAACAAACAAAAATAGCATAAGGAGTTTTCAGTTTCTTGGTAGGAGAGACAGGAGACCCCCCCCCAAATATGTCTTGAAATAATTAAACAATATTTCCTCAGAGATTACAGCTATATAGAATGCAAGTTTATTAATTAATGAAATAGCTGTTTAATGTATTTAAGTCAGATTTTAAAAGCCAAAAACTAGTTAAACCATTAAGATAGATTTTATTTACAAGAATTATTGGGGGGAAAAATGAAAGTCTATCAAACTAAACCACATTTTTCTGAACAAAAGGTTACAGACTTTCTAATCTTGTCACTCAGAAGGCTAGGGCAATCCCAGCACTCTCAGGAAGACTGCAAATTTGAGCCACCCTGAGCTATATTTGAGAGTTCAAAATCAGCATGATCCATATAATGAGACCTTTTTTATTTTTTTTGAGACCCTTTTTTTTGGCGGGGGTGGTACTGGGGATTGAACTCAGGACCTTGAGCTTGTGAGGCAGGCAGCTGAGCCATTGTGCTAAATCCCTGGCCCTTGAGACCCTTTTTTAAAAAGAAGACCCAATTGGGAAAAAAGGAGGAATGGAAAATATAACAACCACTATTCCACAGAAATGATTGAGTTCTGTGAGGCATAAATTGAAAATGCTCCCTGCTGACAATGGAGAATTTTCATGGCTAGTCCAGGCTGTTTCTGGTTCAGCCCTCTGGAAAAATGACTCCCCAACTCCACATTCTTCCTCGGCCCTGGCTTTGTCTTCTGAGCGATTTCTTCTTGGCCATGGTCTTCCTTGGCCATATCTGAAGTGGCATTGGGAAATGTTTCCTCTGTGGGATCTGTACAGCTTTGGCAGCTAATTTCCAGCTGGCTCAAGTTTAAGATCCAAGACTTACCTCAGTCTTTTAAAACTGTTTATAGTATATTTTGCTGTACATAATAATTACATTCATCATGGAGAGTTGGTACATGTACATAATACATCTTAATTTTTTTTACAACTACCTTACCCACCTCCTCAAGACTTGAACAGTTGCTGGCTTTTCAGGCCAAGCTGTTGGTATTTCATTTCCAGCCAGTTCCATGGTCTTCATTTCCTCTTCTGACCCATTTTATTTTGCTTAGTATAATGGGGTTAACTTGAGGCTACTTGAAACAGTAGGCTCAAATAGGAGACCCTTGATCTGGTCTTTGCCAAAAGGCTGAATTCTCTGGTTTCCCTGAAAAGTCTCAAAGGACCTTTGAAGATACCTTTGAGGCTGGGCATGGTGGCACGTCCTAGCTATTCAGTAGGCTGAGATGGGAGGATCAGAGGTTGAGGCCACCCTGCACTTACCTCCTAGGAATGAATATTAAATTGATTGACTTTTCTAATTCTTTAAAGCCCCAGTTTTTCCTGTTCTGTCCAATCTGGCAGCCATGTGGCTATTGAGCCCTAGAAATGATAACTATCTGAACTGATAGGTACTATAAATGTAAAATTCATAAGATTTCAAAGACTCAGTATAAAAAATACAGTATCCCATTAATAAATTTCATATTGATTATTTTAAAATTAAAATATTTTTGATACATTGGGTTAAGTATATTATTAAAATTAGGACATGCCTGTAATCCCTGAGTCAGGAAGATCACAAATTCAAGGCCAACCAGAGCTACTTAGCCAGACACTGTTTAAAAAAAAACTAGGGATGTAACTGAGTATTAAGAGTACTTATCTAGCATGCATGAGGCTCTAGATTCTATCCCCAGCACCACACACATAAAAACAAAACAAAACACTACCATTAAAAACTGTGAAGTACTTCTTCGGGTCTTTACTTCCTTATGAAAGATCCAGTGTTGCATAAAATATATACCATGGCTGGACTCAGTGGCACACACCTGTAATCCTAGCTGCTCCACAGGCTGAGGCAGGAGGATTGCCATTTGGAGACCAGCCAGAGGCAACTTGGAGAGACTCTTGTCTCAAACATACATGACTGGGGATGTAGCTCAGTGGCAGAGCACCCCTGAGTTCATTTACCAGTAATGAGGGGGGAGCTATACTGTGAACTCAAAAAGGAATTTTTCCTTTCCCACACTTGCCACTGCTGAGTTGATACCAAGCTGAAATTTAGATAAAGCAAATCTGAAATTTAATGATTTAAAATCAGACATTTTGGTGCCATAACTTTGATTTGCATATCAACGGACACAAAGCTAAAACACTGAATTTCCACCATTCAGTAACTCTTCTGAATGAAGGAATGAATGCATGCAGTAGTGGTAATGTCAGACTCTTCCCAACTCACAAGAACTCACAAGACCGTCCCAAGTTCAATCCCCGGTACCAAAAAAAAAAAAGAACTCACAAGACCTGGGCCAGGGATTTAGCTCAGTGGTTTCAACGCCTGCTACATAAGCCCAAGGACCTGAGTTCGATCCCCAGTACCAAAAAAAAAAAAGAACTCACAAGAACCAGATGTAAGACCCAGTATGCCAATTAATTCATTCACAATGAGAAATCCAAATTACCTCTTTTATCCTGAAATAAACCAGAATGGTACCCCAAACAAGCCATTTTGGCATAAAGATTACCTTGAACTGAAAGCAACTGAAAAGATAAAAGTTTAAGATGTGTTATGTACATGAACCAGCTCCTGATGATGAATGCAATCATTACTTACTGCTCACATGTTCTAACAAAAAATTTTAAATTAATTTTAAAAAAGAGAAAAGATACAAGAAATGCTTCCCGCACTCCCACAGTTTGCCTAAAAGCAGGATATAAAATTTCAAAGGTGTCTCTCCTCACCTCTCTGCAGGAAGGATAAAAGCTTATGATCAGAGACAACTTTAGAAGCTTATCAAACCAGAGATGGCAAGAGAATTTATATAACAAATATACTAACCAAACTGTGTCTACAGTTAGTTTCCCAGGTCAGGGATATAGCTCAGTGGTGCAGTGCCTGCCTGGCAAGTGAGAGGCCCTGAGTTCAAGTTCTGGTACCAAAAATAAATAAATAAATACAATTAGTTTCCCTTGTCTTTACCTTCCTATGGTTTGCCAGCTTTGAAAGCTGTTATGAATTTTACCTATACATCCTCCCAAAGCCTCCTGCTATCTCGAAGTTAGGGGTTTTGAGAGGTGGCTGATGGTGGAGGATGGTGATGCTGGGATTAAGGGTGTGATACTGGGATTAAGGGTGTGATACTAGGATTAATGGTGTAATGCTGGGATAAAAGGTGCCCCACCCTAGGTGCAGGTGGCACCAATCAGCAGGTTTACAGCCTGGATAGAATATAAAGGACAGAAAGAAGGCGACAGCTGCTGCTGCTTTGCTCTCTTCTGACTGCCCTTCCACACCATGGACTGTTTCTCCTTTGCAATGCCCCTCTACCTTGCCAGGCTATTTTGGAGCCGTCAGACTAGGGACTGAAACCTCTACAACTTTGAGCTAAATAAACCCTTCTTTCCTTAACTTGTGGGTGTCTGGTATTTGGTGTCTGCAACAAGAAAACTAAGACGCCTACTTCTTTCTTTTTTCTCATCGTTTCTCGATAAATTTATTATTTGTTGAAGATGTTCTATAAGTTCAAATTCCAAATCACTTTGAGTTACTCTCCTCCGAGATTCTCTCATGAACATCACAGTACGTTCAAATACTTGTTTGCTTTCCTTTTGTTAACGTGTGCTTTGTTACAAAGGTCCCATTGGAGAACTGAGAAACATAGAGGGAAAGGTTTTTCCCCTCCACAGCAGTCCTAAGGTGGGGTTTTGGAGGGCAATCTGAGTCCACTTTTCTGCAATGCTGGAGTTTGAGGATGGCAGGCACGCATGCTAGGCAAAGGCTCTACCACTGAGCTACACCAATCCTACGGGCACAGTTCTTGCTCTTCAGCTCCCCACTTTGGAGATTCTGATCATCTCACCCATTTTCCATTCCATGACCCTGGGGTTTTCTGAGATACATTCCAGGGCCAGGGAAACTGTTTCAATACTGAATATTTTCTAAACTTCCTTAGGAAAAGGTTGCTATAGAGTCTTGCCCATCTTTCTTCTCACAGTATCCAGAACCGAATGGTGTAGAGACTTCACTACTGCTACCCAACAGATGCAGCTTTGAGGCAAAAGCAGACCAGGCTGAGCAGGGTGTGGTTGTGTACACCAGTAATCCCAGCACTCCGTGAGACGACCACAAGTTCAAACTCAGCCTGGGCAATTTAGAGACCTTACCTCCAAATAAAAAGGGGTGGGGATGTAACCCAGTGAGAAAGCCCTGGTTTCTATCCCCAGTACTAGGAGGCGGGGCAGAACAGGCTGGTATCCCAGTCCTGAGCCAAGGACTGGGGCAGGGGCCTTTGCCTCTCCCATCAGGAACAACCGGTCCTTCTGCCATAAGGCCTGGGGTGACAGCACAGGGTAGTTGGGAGCTTTAAAAATGCCCTTCATCTAAATGCACAGCAACCTCAGGGAGATTTTTTTTTTTTTTTTGGCACCGGGGATCAAACTCGGGACCTTGTGCTTGCAAGGCAGGCGCCGGAACCACTGAGCTAAATCCCCAGCCCCTCAGGGAGATTTTATAAACTGAGGGAAAGTCCTTAGGTAGGATTTCAACAGATTTTACATTACATTGGGGTTTCAGGAAGCACCCCAGAACCGCCACCGCCCCCCCCGAAAAGAAGCACTTATAGGAGGTGGGCGGAAGCCAAATTCTGATACACCCACTAATTTCGCCCAGAGCTGATTCTGAGTTCCCTCTGAGCTCGCACTTTTTAGCCCTTGAGCAAGGTAGGACTCCCAAAATCCAGGACTCCACGAGTTCCACCTCCGCGCTCGCAAGGGTGACACACAACAGCTCGCCGCACTGCACCGGGCGCGCCTCCCGGCTGCCCTTCCTTTGCCCGTCTCCAAGATGGCGGCCACCGCCCACGTCCCAGCCCCGCCCGCCGCCCCGCCCCCGGAAGAACCGCCCCGCCCCCTTCTGCTCAGGGACGCGCCGCACGCTCCCGCCACCCCTCCCGCCCGAGCTCCACCCAGGTCGCAGGCAGCTCTGTCGGCGGAGGCTGTTTCCCGCCATTGTGCGAAGTGGAGGCTGGGGCCCGCACGCTCTGCCCGCCCGTCGCCTGCAGCCCTTTGGTGTTCACCGCCACAGCAGCTGCTCCCGGAGGCGAGGGGAGACCGGACGGCCCGCGCTCCGCCGTGCGTGGGAGGGCGCGGGCGAGGAGCGGCCGAGCTCCTGAGGAGGAGCCGGGCTCCGGCAGCGCTCGGCCCTTGGAGAGCCGCCACCCGCACCTCGGCGAGATGCCCTGCGGGGAGGACTGGCTCAGCCACCCGCTCGGGATCGTGCAGGGCTTCTTCGGTGAGTGGCGGGGCGGGCGGGTCGCCGAGTTCCCCGGGGCCGGCCTGCCGCGCGGCTCGCACGAGGGATCATGACGGGCTTGCGAGGCCGGGGCTGTCCTGGGCCTGGCCCGAGCGAGGCGGGACCGCCCTGCCCGCGCCGCGGCTGCAGGTGCCTCCCACCTGCCCGGCTGCGGGCGGCCGAGGCGCAGCCGCCAGCACTCAACGTGATTGACGGCCTGGCTCGCGCGGTGGCCCAGCCAGGGGCCCCTCGGCGACTGCTGCAGACCCAGAGAAGTGCTCGAGCCCCGGGAGGGCCGAGGGACCTGTGGCGAAGGGAGCCACTCTGCCTGTGGGAGCCTGCGGGATATTTCAAAACTTCCGGTGTGTGGGGCAGTGCTGGCACCTTCACACCGAAGTTGACTAACCCCTCTGTTGCACACATCTTCTCCTTTACAGATTTTAATGTGGCTCGGATGACTTTAGGACCCTTGCAATCATGTACCGTCCCGTACCAGAGCTAGCAAGAAATGTTGAGCTACTTAAAAGTTTCTACCTAGACCGAATGTTGCAGGCAAACTTAGTAAATTTTAGTTGCAGTTGCTGTTGCTAATTTTCTGCGAAGGAGACACGAAGAGAAATGTAGACTTATTTCTCGTTAACTGGGCCTTTTGATCCCCAGCCCTTGCTGCAGTGTCTTTACCTTCAGGACGGTGGAGTCAGGTAACCAGAAATCACTGTGTCGGACCGCAACACTTAATTTGCAGTTGTGGAGTGAGTGCTCTTAGTACTTTTAAAACTTAGCACGGGGTGGATAGCTTGGAGATGGAGCATGTGCTTAGCTTGTGGCAGCCCTGAGTTCTTTGCCTAGAAAATAGTATGTGTATGTCGTGGGATACAGAGAGGAAAACTAGTAAGAACTCTATGCAAGGAATGTAAACTTTATGTACTGCAAACGTATACTAATAAAAATTTTTTTTGAAAAGCTAAATAGTCCTCAGCATCCAAAACCAATGGCATAAAATGTGTGTTTCTTGTAGGAGGGCCTCTGCACAAACAGCACTCTTATTTTACCTGTAATTCTTGTTTAGTTATGTGGTTTCCCAGGCTGAAACTAAAGACAGCAAGTTAGAAAAGGCCTGGATAAGCATCTAGATTGTAGTGAACATTGACAACCTGATAAAGAAGTAAAATATAAATATATATGTATATCAAAAAACAAATGGTCTGGGGGAGTAACGTAGTGATAAAGTGCATGCCTGACATACAGGAGACCCTGGTTTCAATTTCCACCACAGAAGGAAAAATAAAAGGCAGATTCACTGTATATAGCTGCCCAGGGCACTTTGGAAAACGGGCCTATTTTATCTACTAACTCCTAGTAATTGATGTTTGCAATAATGAATACTGGGGCCGATAAGTGATGTTCAAAGTAATGCCCCCAGAATGTCAAGTGAGGATTAAATTGCAGTGTTGATTTAAGAGGGTGCAGATACATAAATATATTGTAGGAAAAACCTTCCAAAGTAAAAAGGATACTTAAAGGATTAAGTTCCAATTACTGATACTAGAAAATTCATTTATGAGAAATACCCCATACTTTGGTCTTCCTGGATAAATGAGATGGTTTTATGTGTTTTGTTTGGGTACTGGGGATTCAACCCAGGACCTCACATGTGTGAGGCAAGCACTCTATCACTGAGTTACATCCCCAGCCCTATTTCTATTTTGAGAGTCTCAAAGTGACCCAGGCTGGCCTCAAACTTTAGATCCTCCTGCCTCAGTCTTCCAAGTAGGAATTACATAAAGATATGTTACACCATGCCTGGTGAGATAGTTTTAAATTTGGTACAGATACATATGTATTTGTGTCAGATTTTGTTCTCTTAAGTTCCTTAAGTACGTGCTTCTGAGGGGAACATCTCATCATAGTACAAGAAAGAATATAATTTGGTTATGAAATACTGGCTTTACAATATCTTCTTGGTCTTGAGGACTATTGTGGGAACTTGAGCCTTGTTATATTTACCTGCAGAATGTCTCCTTCCTATATAGAATGGTAAAGAAAGTGTTTTATAGAATCTGTCATTAAGTTATTTTTTGCTGTATTTCCCTACCACTGTGGCTATATTGAGAACCTTTATAATAACTGCACTACAGGTATGTTACTATGAGAAATAAGTAAAAGTTGTAGATTCTTTTTGGTTTAGTAGGAAATTGCTTTTTTGTTGTTTTTTGGTGCTGGAAATTGAACCCAACACAGGCTAAGCACATCCTCTATGCAGACATCTAACCCTAAGAAATTGTTTTAACTTGTTTTTCACCAGATAGAAAGGTAATGCATGTTGATTGTTTTAAAACAAAAAGTTAAAGCCAGTAACAGACAGAATATGAAAGACTTCTCTAATTCTTCATCTTCAAGATAACCTGTTCGTGATTGTGCAGCTTATTATTTGTTTATTATTTGCCATGCTGGGGATCAAACCTAAGGCCTCACACGTTCTAAGTTCAATCAGTGAGCTACATCCCCAGCCCTCAGTTTATTTTCTTTGCACATGTTTGCACTGTTTCTTAAAACTGAGAAATGTAAGTTTGCTGTGCTCATTATTTTGAAATGTGGGGGGTTTTTTGTTCTTGGTTTTTTATTATGTGTGCTGCCAGAGAGAGCACCATTTTTGTTTTGGTTTTTTTTTGGTACCGGGGATCGAACTCAGGTCCTTGCACTTGCGAGGCAGGCGGCAGAACCACTGAGCTAAATCCCCGGCCCATGGGAGCACCATTTTTGGTTTTTTGAGGTAGGGTCTCACTGTGTAGTCCAAGGCAGCCTTGAACTTGCTGTGTAGCTGGCCTTAAGCTCTAGACCCTCCTTCCTCAGCTTCCCAAGTGCTGGAATTACAGGTGTGCACCATCACATTTGGTTGAAATATGTATTTTTTTCTCCCTGCTACTGGGGATTGAACCCAGAGCCTTGACACTGATCTATAACCCAAGCCCTTTTAAATATTTACTTATTGCACTACTGGGGATTGAACCCAGGGCCTTTGCACTGAGCTATACCCTGAGCCCTTTTTAAAAAAAATTTTATTTTGAGACAGATTCTCGCTAAGTTGTTGAATTGCCCAGGCAGGGCTGAAACTTGTCATCCTCCTGCCTCAGCCTCCTAGAGCACTGAGATATTTCTTAATATATCTTGGACATCTTTCCAACTAAACTTAAAGGATTTATTTTCCCATTCCGAGAACATAAACAACACTCATATTTTAAGTTAGTTGACTAATCTAGAGTTGTGTTGTCCGACGCAATAACTACTTGTAGCTATTTAAATTAGTTAAAATTACGCAAAAGTTTAGTTCCTCAGTGTCGCTAACCATATTTCAACTGCTCAGTAGCTGCACATCAACAGGGATGCTGTATTAGGCAGCACGAGTACTGTAGGTTATTGCTACTGTCTCAGAAAAGTCAGGTGCACAGTGCAGATCTGGAAGACTCACCTTTTAGTATGTAATGCTCCTTTTGATAATCAGCTACTTCCTGAGTCTCTTTTAGGGTCTGAATTCTGTCAATACATTTCATCTGCTCTAATTCTTAAGTATCTTTTTAGTCTTTCTAGAGATCTTCGTTGCCAAGACTACTGTCACAATTCAGATCACTGTTTCTTTCTTGGATGACCATGGCCTCTTGCTGGTTTCTTGCTCCAGTCCAGCTTCTTTTTCATTCTCTACACTGGGACCAAGTCTGTCGGTGACTTCCTGTTGCTCTTAATATCTGATACAGACTTTTTTTTCCTTGTGGTACTGGGATTAAACCCAGGGCCTTCACCATGAGCTACATCCCCAGCACTTCATTTTTTTTTTTTTTTTTGGTACCGGGAGTTAAACTTGGGACCTTGTACTTTCGAGGCAGACAGCAGAACCACTGAGCTAAATCCTGGGCTTTTTTTTTTTTTTTTTTTTTTAAATCCAGACCTTTCAAAGTAGTTTATAAGACCCTTGTTGGATTCACCCCTACCTAGCTGGTGGACTTGATCACTGTGTTCTCTTTCATACTCTCTATCCTGGCCAGACTGAATCCTCTTTCAGTACTGTGATTTTGAGCCCTACGTCTTGGCCTCCTGCATCCGCTGTTTACTTTGTCTGGTGCCCCTTTCCCATCCTAAGTTCACTTTGCTGGTTAAATCTTACTTTTTCTTTGGGAACCAAGTTAAGTTAGATACCCCTGTTCCATGATACTTGAGTCCCATGCATCCCTGGAAATCAGCATGTAAAGCCCATTGTTGAAATTGCTTGTTTCTTGTGTTCCTTCACTAGATTTTTTTTTTTTTTTTTTTGTACTGGGGATTGAACGTGGGTCCTTGCGCTTTCGCAGCAGGCGGTGAAACCGCTGAGCTAAATCCCCGGCCCTCCTTCACTAGATTTTTACTGACAATTCAAGGCCTGTGTCTACAGAGTTCACAGTTATAGCTTGAAAAAATTTTTTTCTTGGAGGCAGACTCACTGTGCAGTTCAGGTTGTAACTCACTATGTACCCCAGACTGGCCTTGAACTTGCAGAGATCCTTCTGCCTCGGCCTTCCAAGTGCTGGAATTATAGGCATGTGCCACCACACCCAGCTCCTCAGACACTTATTAAAAGCAGTGTTGGCTGATAATGGTGTAAGTTGGGATGGTTACTGTGGCCACACATAGCATGTTTAGGACAGTTCTGATGAGCCTTGTACTGTTCCTGAGACTAGATCATATGTGTTCTGCATTTTTCACATGCAGATCCTGATTCTTCTTGGTTTAGATAAGAAACTTTGAAATTCTGTGGGTCTCCAATCATACCTATGCAAATCATAATTTATCTTTTTGAGCCAGTCTGTGTTTTATAGGTATTCTTATGTAAATGTTTCCCTGGGAGCATTTACAAAATGCTGCTAGTGTTTCTAGTTTCTAATTGATTTTTATACAGGACATGGAGATCCAAGGCTTAAGACTTAGGAATATAGTTGAACAGTTTTTTGTTGTTGTTGTTGTTGTTGTTG